GGTCTGGTAGATCCATGTGTTCCTCCACTTGGTCGTGGTTTCTTGAATTGCTGGTGTCTAGCTGATCCAGAATGTCTTCTCTTATCACTAGACTTAGATCTGTCATTAGAAATGGCTTTTTCCAGCTGACCAACCCTTCTTTGTAGTGGATCAAGTGGATACTCTGCTTCAAGCTTGTAATCTCGAATACACCGTACCACTGCCCTAACAGCTGCAAGTTCCTGCGCAATTGTACTATTCTGTAAGAGAGTTTGCCTATATTAAGAGATAAAAAATGCCAACCTCCCCTCGTCTTTTGGCTCTCTTTTTGCTTCTGATAGACAAGTAGGAACAAGTTTGCCACGGTGATATTTAATTGTCAAACCTCGAAAAGAAGTAAATTCATATCAGTAAACTCAAGCATTAAGCCCCACTAAATTAATTTGAAAGTAGAAAGGCCTCAAGCTGGTTATTATTGTGTCAGCCATGACCACTATGCTTCAGTTTGCAGGCAATTTTCTACTTATTTACAACTTGTTTATTTCTAGATAATCTAATTCATTCCCTGACAAGAATTAAACGTGCATATCTACACTAAACTTTAAAATCCTAGGGCAAGCTGCTGCATATAGCTGTTCTACAGTCTTCTTTGACCCAGGCTTGCTACTTCATCAAAACTCTTAACTAAAATCTGAAAAGAGCTTAAATTAACTCTAGCGTTTCTTTCTGAAAAAGGATTCACATTGCATCCTCCTTTTTACCTCTAGATTAAGGAATCAAGGACTAGGAGGAAATTTGGCTTCACCTTAACTGTTTATATGTAAAACTCTCCCACTCTCCAAGAAGAAAAAACCATGGTTTTAATCAAACGAAACACTTGGGATAACCCAAGTTCCATATCTCTTCACATTCACAATTTACTTGTACATTTTTATAAAAAATTATGGTTCGGTTATTTTGTCCTTCTTTATAAATCAGTGAACTAAGGTTTCACTCCCTGGGGAGGTCATACAACATCGACCACCAACCAGGATCTTTGTCTTTCCCAATATCTAGTACATCCAGTAGAGACCAAAATATTCGTTTCCTCGTCCGTTCACACGGTGAAATCATTTTATGGAAATTTGATGAAGCGGGGATAGGAGAGTGGTGGGGAGGAAAGGCGACGGAGAGGCACCAAAAAACCAGCTTTCTTCACATGGTGTGCAGTACGGATGCCATAACGATTGATAAATTGAGGAAAAAGGGGCCAACAATGTAAAGCCAGTTTTGTTTATAAGCAGTTCAGAGAAGACCAAGACCCAAATCATACAATTGTTACATGTTACATGTGTCACACAACTCTGAACTTTTTTGGGTTCAAGAAAGAAATGGTGTTACCTAGGACTATGAGAGAGACCATATCATGAGTTAGATGAAGATAGGGAGAAAATAGGAAGTTTTCGATAAGAAGGGTAGAGGGGCTGGCCCATTATCCACTGTTCCAAAACAATGAAATCAATATAACTACTATTAAAAAGTCTTCTTTTGTTTCATTTACTTTTTTGGTGTAAAGAGAAAATACACATTTGTATAAATGATTTGGCCAACACGATAGATGTATGTGGATACGATTTACATGTTTTTTTGACATGGATTTTGGTGTTTAATTTCAAGAAATTTCCATTGAATAACCAGAGAGTATGAAAGGTAATATACAGCAAGTTCATGGCAAATTAAGATTACTATTTTCTTCACTTTCTCATATTAGATTACTTTTTGCATTCTAAGGACTAAAATCGTGTTGAATATGCATGTCATATGTATATAATAAAGCACAAGTGGATTAATACTTGTAAAAACCAATGACTTCATCTACCAATATAGATCATTGGAAATTAACTGTGCATGCATGCAACTGTATTGACACAATATTTGAGCTACCAATGAAATTAGAATTTCCTAAATGGTCAAATTTAACAAATGCATGACAACCAAAGGAATAATTTGGCTAGTAGTACCTCCCTGTTTCCCGAGTTACCTCCCTTCCCTTGTGCGTTACGTCTCAAGTCCCTCAAATAGCCTTTCAGGAGCGGGACAAGGGGAAATCTTTCAGTCAGCTTGAAGGAATGAATAAAACGAGCAGCATCAATTTGCTTCTCATTATGAATCAATGCTTCAATGATACCTGCAAAGAAATAATAATAATAATAATAATAATAATAATAATAATAATAATAATAGAATTAAACACCATAAATGATTGCATAATTTTTTTGATGAAGTAATATGGTTGCATATTTGGAGAGGCAGCAGCTATTAGATGCGCCATTTGAACAATTCCTAGCAGAGTATACTATAAAGGTCCAAGATTTCCAGTGAAAAGAGCGTCTCAAAGAAGAGATGGTCTGGTCTCCAGACCACATCAGGTCAGTTAAAAGAACACCAACCTGGCATTTTGTCTGCTAAGCCAAGAGAACGGCAGAGCTCAGGCCCCTGCCTATTGTGAGCCACTGCAAGAACAAACTTGCAGAGCTCTTCTTCATCAAACTCTGAAGCAATCCTAAAAGTTGCAAGGAGCTGCAAAAATGCCTCGGTTTCCAATGGAGCTTGATTGGCAGCATCAGTGCCTGCAGTAGCCAACTTAGGCTTCCATTCATCAGCAATGACCTTGGCTTGCTGCTTAATTTCTGGGTACAGAAGGTGATCAGCACCTGGTTTAGCTTTCGCCAACAAGGTGGCCATGGCTTCCATGCAAACAAGGCAGGCTTGACGCAAGCTATGGTTAGCATTTCTGCTTTCCTCAGCTTTAGAGTTAGATTCATCATTAGAGTAGAAGAACTCAAGTGAAGCCAGTACCAAACGGCCTGGTTCACTTGCACCTTCAAGGGCAACGGAGAGTTCCTCAGAAATTGAGGTCATATTCTTTTTACTCTCCATAATATAATGCAGAAGTCCTTCTGCATCCATCTTCTCACATAATTCTGTCAGTTCTGGTCGAGGTTTGACCTTGTCAGAAACACCATCAGCATTTTCACCAGCTCTACCAGAGGATTTTACCTCTGAACCAGTATGAAGTTCATTTGTTCCACCAAGAGAGCTGCTTACCTCAATGTCTTTGCTGTCCTCTACATCTGTATGCTCTAAAGATGCCAATTGATGATCTCCCCGTGCTGCAGCAATTGCAGAAACTGCAGCATCTTTAAGTTCCTGCAACTGATCCCACAAATTTTGCTCCCTAGCAGCTATATCTGCCTCTCGTGAAGCAATCAGCAGATGTGCATCAGATTCTTGTTCCTTAAAGGCTTTCTCTCTACTTTCAAGTTCCAAAGACTTGTTCACTGCTGAGGCCTCCAGATCCCGGAAATGTCTTTCAATATCCTCGAGTAAACCCTTATCTATGGAGGTATCTTCGTGAGATTCAAGATCTTTTAATGCCTTCCCCAATTCTTCGATCAGGAATGGTACGCTTTTGATTATCGTAAGAAGATCCATCTCAGCCATGGTACCTCAAATATCTGCAAATATCTGGAGATCAGAGGATGCATGAAAGAAATGCACGCAAAACTTAGTATACAGTAAAATATCACCTCAAGATCTGGGCGCTAACATGCAAACTACCCACCCCATTCCCAAGAAAATAAAGAGAGAGCATCATCTGTCCAGTGTCCACTAGACAAATTGTGCCACAATTGAGACAAGATAGACTCGCTCATTGGGCAACCAATATAGAGAAGAAAAAATGGCTGAAGTATCATAAGGTTCTTTTGGCAAGTGTTATAACAATATTGCGCGAATTGAGATGATGATATTTATTATAAACCAAGAAATAAAGGGAAATCTAGTTTTGTAGTGTGAAGAAAACATTTAAGAACTCACACAGAATGTACTGTTTCCACAGGGTGTACCAGCTGGGAGCCTGGTGATAGTCAACTAAACAGGCTTTTCTCTTACTACCAAAAATGAAAAAAATTTCTTTTGACGCATATCTTTTGTATAGCAATTCCTAGAACCTTTCATGATAACCATGGTGTGACCTAATTGAATGCTTTTTATTTTCGTTCAATCAAACATAAGAAGCATCGTTCACCAAAAGGTACATGATGTCTCCTTTGAGATAAAATGTACATCTTTTATAGTCTCTCACTTTCATTTTGAGTTCATTCTTTTCAATATATATTTTGGTTTTTAAAATACTATGATAGAAATTTTTCACCACCAACTAGTCACATAGCAGCAGAGAACGCTAACAGATGAAACCATATGACAACTAATCTATTATGCCTTAATCCCAACACAGTTGTGGCCCGCTGTAAAAGTCCACTTTATCCATTCCACTCTATCCAGATCTGTTTCTTTCCAATATCAAAATCAATGAACTATACCTCAATTCCTAATTAAATGGGGTTAGCTGTAAGAATCTTCTATATTCCTTTATCTCTAGTTGAACCTGTTTCATTCAAATACTAAACAGTTTGCCTCATAAGGCAATTCAGAGGTTTTCGAAAGTTAGATGTTCTGTTAATTTCACAGTTACCCCAACACTGATATACAAGTCTCTAGTCAGATTAAAACTTTAATATTGGCAAATACTGGACAACAACAACAACAAACCCAGTGGAATCCTACAAGTGGAGTTTGGGGAGGGTAATGTGTATGTAGACCTTACCTCTACCTTATGAAGGTGGAAAGGATGTTCCCGATAGACCCTCGGCTCAAGAACAGTGAAAGGAAGCAATAACCAATTAATAGCAACAACAAGGTAAAAGGCAGCGGAAAAATGGCATTTGGAAAATACTGGACCTAACGTAAAATAAAACAACAATTGGTTGAGCCTTAATCTCGACTACTTAGGGTTGCCTAGATCTTTTTACTTATGTGATATTAAATTATAGTGTGTTGGATGGCATACCAACCTATTTGATGTCTTTATTTCCTATACCCTCGGCAATTGAGAAAAAATCAATTCCATTAGGAGCCAGTTTCTATGGGAAGGCAATGCAGAAAAAAGGAGAATGCATTTGGTCAATTGGCAGAAAGTAATGAGAAACAAGGAAGCTGGAGGGCTTGGAGTGCGAAATTTGAAGCTTCACAACAAAAGTCTATCGTGCAAATGGTTATGGAGATTTAATGAAGAAGGTGAGGAATCATGGAAAAAGATGATTACCATTAAATATGGTAAAAAAGACTTTTGGGATCCTAGTCCGGTGGTTACATATACAGGTGCCAGTCTGTGGAAGTATATAAGTAGTTTATGGCCTTTACTACAAGGAAACATAATGGTGAAGATTGAAAAGGGGAACAAAGCTAGGTTCTGGACAGATGTCTGGGCCGGAGAAGAAAAATTGATGGAAAAATTTCCCCATCTTTATAGCTTTACTACTAACAAACTTTGCACTGTTGCAGAATGCACTCAGGAACAGGATGGCAACCAATTTTCAGAAGACACTTCAATGATTGGGAAGTGGAAGATATCTGTCAACTACTCAAAATTTTAGAGCCTATAGCCTTGGATGATAGTAGAGAGGATGCCCAGATTTGGATGGCCAGTAGAGATAAGAAGTACTCCGTTAAAAGCTGCTATAATCTTCTTCAAAAACAAACTGGGCAGCGGGAGGAATCATGGCCATGGAAGATGCTTTGGAAGACCAAAGCACCAACAAAAGTTGCTGGATTAGGATGGACTGTAGCCTGGAATAGATGTCTTACCCAAGATATGCTACAAAGAAGAGGTTTTGCTTTATGCAGTAGATGTTTTTTCTGTGAAGAAAGCCTGGAGTCTGTAAATCATTTGTTTCTTCATTGCCGGCANAGGATGGACTGTAGCCTGGAATAGATGTCTATACACAAAAGCTGCTATACACCTACAGCGGGTGCATCGGGAGGTCAACATAGGATAATGCAAAACCATCAGTAATGACCATGTCATTTATTTTTTTGTGACGATGGTGCCCTGCTCAGCTTGTGCGCACATCTAGTATTCCACCACGTACCTGCTACCTCTCAGGTATCGGCAACTCTAATAACCATGTCATTTTATCCTTTATAGGTCCATTTTATTCCAATACTAGATAACTTTTCTTTTAAGGCAATGTTAGGTTTCATCTAAAACTAGATATCCTCATTTATCCCTACATAAGTCTAGATTAAAAACTAATCTTAGTCCTTTTACAACTAAACCCAAAAACATTTTTCAAATACCGTCTAAATTTTTTGATAATCGAGAAATCCCTCAAAGCCAGTGGGGCATCATTTTTGGATCCCACACATCATGTGTTGTGCTCTTACCATTAGACCTAATCCCGTGAGGCTTCTCAAATACCATCTAATGACATGATATACATATAGATTACCTCGAATTTCTACAGAAAGTACATTAAATTGAAAGAATACCCTTTAGCAGATATTCATGGAACCTTAAAAAACCTAACTATATCCCCAATTTTTCGGAAAACAGACATATAAACAAGTACAGAGAAAATTATCGAGCCCATTATTTAACATAGAACATGAATTATAAATATCATATCAATAAAAAGAATGCAAAATAGAAATCTTACAGTTCCGTTTTCGAAGAAACCCGCTATTTAAGAGGGTCGAACCCGAAAGGTCGCCGGAGCTCCGATTTGGAATCTTTGGGGGTTTTCTCTGTTGCAAATTTCAGGAGATGAAACGAATCATAAGTGAAAGAAGAAGGATTTTCTGGAAAGGATTGAAAGGTTTGGTCGCTCTGAAGAAGAGAGTGATTCTATAGAGACGGAGATTGCTTTGTTATCTTGTTGCCCGATTTCTACTAAATATTTGGGCCTAGTTTTCATCTTTAATTCTTTATGGGCTTTCATAAGCTATCTGGGCTTTTTTCACTTTTAGTCCGTGCAAGAAACTATTTACATTCTATAGCCGAAAAGTATATAAAACTTATATAATTTTTATATATAACATACAGTATATATGTGTGTATATATATATATTCAGCTATTATTTATAAAGTAGTTATACAGTTTCATTTTTCCTTATTCATTTTATTCTAGCCCAATATGAATAAGCCTTTTTCACATTCTACTTTTCTTGTATTTAAGTTTTGTTTGATTATTGGGCGAACCGCGAAGTGGACAATAGTCGATTTTAGGACCGTTATTTAAAAGTAGCTGAAAAATATAAAGTATTTAAAGTTTAGCCGCTTCAACAGGCTGCAATTTAAAGCTTCAGGCCAAAGTTTCAAAATTTAGACCTTCAGGTTTGAAGTTTAGGACTTGGTAGTTCAAAACTTCAAACCTTCAAGCCGTTTGAAGTTCGTCGAATTTGGCTAAGCTTTAAATAGTTTTTAAAAATTGTGTATGTTTTGGACGGTGTCCTTAAAGTTGGCTACTTAGTGCATTTCTACTTGATTTTGTAAGCTCGGTTTGGTTATTTTTTAAATCAAATTCGACTTAACTTGAGATCCAAACCTGCGCCAAATGCAGGTTCTACTCATTGATATTACCTTTTCATAATTTGGAATATGTTGGTACTATTGAAGTGGGTACACCTCAAGAAGAAATCTACAGAACTTCATAAAAAAATCCGACAACAACAACAACAAAAAACCCATAATAATCCCATAAATGGAGTCTAAGAGAGTAGTGTTTATGCAGACCTTACCCTTACGTTATAAAGATAGAGAGACTGTTTTCGATAGACCATCGGCTCAAGGAACATAACTTCATAACAAATCCCAAGTGCTATTAAAATTAGTTTTGATCTCATTTAATTTCTCGATTCCTCTAATCGGGTGGGCGTCGACTGACTTTTCGACCAAATCTCCAAATGTATGTGTGTCTCTCCCCGCATGCAAATCAAAATATTCTATGTGTCCTAACCCAACATTCATTCACAAATCTTATAGTGAAATTGAGATTGCTCAACCTCGAGAGATAATTATTCGTGTGTAGGCAACACTGATCGTATCAAGAAATTTTCTTTATTTTATTTCTAAGTTTTGTAGTAAATTTAGAACGAAATGGAAAATAAAGTACTCCATTATGGTCTATATGTATATAAAATGTTCCTATCAATTACAAACATAAAAGTAATACTATCAAATAATTGTTACATAATGAAGTGATAATAAATAAGAGAGGAGAAATTAATTCGACTCGATGGAATTAGGATGGTGAAAAGTGAAAACCATTTAACAAATAGTTTCCACAAAATATATATTTGATGCATATGCAGTAGTACCATGGAAAACAAATATAATTTATAATTTGCTTTTTTCTAAAATTTGTCAAGAATAATTTAAATTGAGCAATATATAATTATCAAACTTTAGTTTTTCAAATCTACATATATCTGCTGCAGATTAACTTATCAATTACCTCTCACTAGTTCACTGATATTATATTCCACTTTTATTTTTAGTCTTGAAGGGTACAACAGTCAGAAACTTTACTATAAATTAGGAAAGAAATAAAGTATATTTTTAAAAACAAAGGAAAAAAGTAAAAGAAGAGAAATAAAGCTGCTCTTAATACATTCTTTGCATTTCGTCCTTCACTTTGCCTTTTTGCAATTCTTGAAAAAATTGTTCTTTACATAAGTAATCGTTCGAATAATTTCCAAACAAATTAAGGTCCGGTAGTACAGAAATATATTCTCACTTTCGTTGTAGTAAAGTGCATGTATATCCTCTCATCGATCCTAATCTCCGAGCAAAGACAGGCTTTGCCTTTATTTGATTCCTTTCCTTTCACCAATTTCATGAACAAACTATGTTGAGTTTTGTGGGGTAGCATCAAAGCTTAATTTCAAAATCCTTTTCTAGGTAGGGTTCATGTGATCCAACAGTTCAATTGACCTTATATATGTAATCCTCATGTATCTCATCTATTTTGTCACTTGCTTACTATTTTTCATTAATACAAGTATCGGTAATTTGACCATCAAAGTAAATATATAGAAAAAAATCACAAGCGAGTTTGTCTCTACAAAAATGTCGTCGTTTTGCAAATCTTTATCTCATTTCATGAATCACTAGGCTACACCCACCAACGGAACTAAGTGGAGGAAGGGGGAATTAAATTGAATTCACTTTATTGAAAAATTATATAGTGCAAATAATACAATAGTGATTATTTTTTGTATATATTAACCAATTGGATCCCATTTATATAAGGAAAATGTTAAGCATTGCAATCTGAATTAATGAAAAGAGTGAAAAAGCAATTAAACACCTTTACAAAAAGTGAGTGGTTGAATAAATTTCCACTTCGGCTGTACCAAAGGTAGACCAAAACTCATAGTGATCATTTCACATGTCCACCAAAGGTGGTGGCTCCCCTCTTCTCATGATTTTACCTCTTTGCAAAATAATTATATATATATATATATAATTATATATAATTGTTCGACAAAAAAAATTTAGACTTTAGGTTGATCTAATTAAATAAGAAGGTATTGGGTAAATCCTGGCCAAAGATAATTTACCCTAGATCTAAGATAGAAGATATGAATAAGCAAATAAAGCAAGAATAAGATTTAACTGTAATATTGATTAAATCCCATTATATAAGAAAAGGATAGCGATTTTCATAACATTGAACAACAATGAAGAATACATGGATGGAAAAAGTCACCCATCTTTAACAAGGTGCAATCCCATACATTTGGTGTGATGAGACTAACTATATATATTGAGGATCTGAGCTTCCTTGCTTCTTTCTTCTTCATAGAGAGAGAGATGAAGATCCCTCCTCTTTTCGGAAAACATGTCTGTGTGTGGATTTGTTTCAGCCCCCTTTTCTTCTTCTCACTTAGTTTATATACTAGGTCTTCTCCTTTACCCATCGGTCATTAACCATAGTACTTAAGTCGTTTGACTATATTACGGACCGACCCCTTGAAATGCTGTAATATCCAGTTCATCTCTCAAGCGTTTTGAATACATGACATCGGTCGTGGCCGAGGTGCGTGTCGTTACAGCGTGGTATGGATACGACAGTCCCAAGTAACTTTTTGCCGTCCCTTCCTACGTCGATTCTTTTCTGGTCAGATTTTGACCCATACAGTTAGTCCTTACACCCGCTGGGGTCACCTCTTGGAGAGCTCGATGGGAGGACTTTGTTGATTCGAAAATTGGGAGGAATCTGAATGCTTTATGCGAGAGACGAGCACCTCATGGCGAGATAGCGACGTGATGTTTCGAGAGCTGTGTCAGACTGTCACGTCAGTTCAGAATGTCATTAATACTTCTCATGCATCATTATGACACACGTTTTCTATGCATTGCATCGTTTTCCATGCCCTTTCCATTTTCAAAATGGTGGCATTTGGTTTTCCTGCTTAGGGCATTTATATCCCTATAAATAGGGGTGAATCTTTCATTTGAATGTTACGCTTCTTAATCGCTCAAGAGAGATTTTTGCAACTCTTCTTCTTCTCCTTCAGTTTCTCATATTTCTGCTTCTGTTAGGATTTGCTGAGATCACTACCTTTTTCCCTTATCATTCTAGTTTCTTTTAATCAAAGAAAAGATGGCTAGTGCTTCTTCTAACTCTGATAGAGATGTTGGTGCTCCGTTGCCGAAAAATGATATACCCCCAATCGAAGAGGGAGTGGAGATGGCGGAGGACGAGAGTTTTTTGACGGTAGATGAGGTGGTTCCTTGCATAGGGAAGGTGAGGACTGACTTCAATAGACCTGTCGGGGACGAGTCAGAACCCATTTTTTCTACGATATATGATGTGGCACTTACGGCGTTCAAAGCCAAATGGGGGATCCCTGATTATTTTAAACTGGTTCCGACGGATCAGGACATAGTGCATATACATCGTCCAGGCTATTACGCATTTTATGCGT